GCAAAAGATAGAGTCCATATTCTTCGCTAGGATACGTCCTAGGCAAAAGTCAGAGGTTACAAAAAAAAGAGAAGAAAAATCCTAAGAGCAATGGTTATCTTAGTCAAAAACCGAAAGGCGACTAAGGTAACACCCTTCCAAAATTAGGCAACTTTGCATAGTCTTCACTCCGGGTTCGAGCATCTCAACTAAAACAATTAGGAGAACCAAGGGGCAGATATTATAGACATGATTGTTGTAACTCAAACAATTTAGCTAACATGAACCAGCCATTCTTATAAATCCCGTTGTAATCCTTCGAAAACAAAAAGAAGTAATAAATCTTTTGCTCATACATATCAATAAAATTCCCTTTCATTTCTTTTCTCTTGACCAGTTTATGAGATTGACTCTTTATTGATAAATCATAAATATGCACAAAGTCATTTTGTCAATATCAAATAATGCATCATAAACAAGGAAGCATTGAAAAAGAAAAAAATGAATATAATAAAAAAAAAAGAATAATGCCTGCTAGGAGATTATTAGGCAAAAGTTAGGGCATCCTGCTAGATTGAAAACCTGCAAAGGGCGGTCTAGGCAAAAGTTAAGGCACTCTTAAAAAGAAAAAAGTCAGCTAAGATATCCTAGGCAAAAATTAAGGCAGTTTGCTAGATCGAAAACCCCAAAAGGGCGGTCTAGGCAAAAGATAGGGCTAAATCAAAAAATGAATAAAAGAGGAGTCTATCAGCATGATAAAAAGTCCAGTACGAGAATGCTGGTCACTTTTCTAGATGCATCTCATAAAAGAATAAATTACATTTAGGGCATTCACACAAGTAGTTGCACAAAATGACTTTGTCAAAAAAAAAATTTCTTTGTAAGCAAATAAGCAAAAAATAAGAATCATACATAAGGAGACTAGTTCCATGTTTGTGATTGAAAAATAGGAAGCACCCAGACCAAGTCTCCAAAATAATGCTCCTCCTCAAGAAAACGGAGTAAGTCATCATTAAACAAGCGACTCAGCAAAATAAGGAGCTTCCAGTAGCCAAAACTCCAAGCCATCATCCTTCCATCTAAGAAAAAGAAGGTACATCAACACAGAAAAGCCAACGGAAAGGCTTAGTCATCCCTAAGCGGATCTTTGCCTACCCCGAAGGCAAAACAAAAAATATTACCCTAAGACTTAGCACCGCCGCCACATGAGTCAGCAGGCATATTTCCCCACAGAAAATAAGGGACTCAAGAAAAGAAAATCCTTCATCCCAAGTGGATGCCCAAAAAGAAAAGGCCATAACAAGAGAAGGCCAATAAACACCCCAAGTGGGTCACGAAACAAGGAATCAAAAATTCCATTCCCTCAGTGGAATCAGGGCTTTGCAAAGTTAGCTCCTACCAGTATCAATCAAGGAATCATAAATTCCATTTCCCCTAGAGGGCTATCAAAAACCAGATCCCCAGGGAAACAAAAATTCCCTGGTGGATCACCAAAAAGAAAAACCTATCCCCTGTAAGCCTACTGCAAATGCAATCTTCAAATTCACATCCTCAGAGAGTCATTTGCCTGCGCATAGGCAAGACCTAGCGAGTAAAGAGCTAGTATCTCCCAAAGGGAACATCAGCCTATTAAGAGGAAAAGAAATGCAACCAAAAGTCTTCACTTTCGATGAAGCATCCGCCTACTCAGATGCATCACCATCAGAACTAACAAATCCCTAGTGGATTCCTGCCTACCTAAGAGACATTCATAAAAAATCCCTGGCAACCGACATAGCTGGATGACTATGGAAAAAACCCCAAAAACAAAGAATCCCCAGCAATCAACAAGTTAGATGACTATTAGAAAAATCAAATCAAATCAAGAATCCCCAGTGATCAACAAGCTGGATGGCTATTGCAAAAGTAAAAAATCGAAGAATCTTCGACATACCAGATGAATACTTAGAAAAGACAAAAACAAATTCTCAAGCAAGAAATACTCCCCAAGGCAAGCGCATGAACAAGATTAGTAAGCCGCTACCACACAGTTTAGTCCAAGAAAAGTGGACGTCAAACCAGATGGGGGTGCGTACTCATACAGTCCTATAAAGTGGACTGCGAACCAGATGGGGGTGCGTACTCATCAAGTCTTACAAAAGGGGACTCAAAACCAAAATCTTATGATCAAAGTATCGGTTATCTCATTGAAGAGGCACTCTGAGAACAATCAAAGGATCGACTACCTCCTCGAAGGAGCATCCTGCAAATTGAAGGATCGTCTACCTCACTGAAGGAGTATCCTGCAAATCGAAAGATCGACTACCTCATCAAAGGAGCATCCTGAGATCAAGGTCTTACCGTCCGAAGGGTCAGCTACCGCATCAAATGAGCATCCGGAGGACAAGTCTTGCAAAAGAAGACTCAAACCAGGTGGGAGTTCATACTCATCACCACAAGTAGGCATGGCAACGGGCGGGCGGGGGTGGGTTTTGCCTCCCCGTCCCCGCCCCGACTTTTTAACCATCCCCGCCCCGATCCCCGCCGGGTTAGGAATTAAGTCCCCATCCCCATCCCCACTGGGTTTCGGTTCCCGCCCCGCCCAGTCCCCGATTTATATTATTTTTAAAAAGATAATTATATTTATAATAAATTAATTTTACTATGTATTTTTATATATAAATAAATATTTATAATTTATAGTTATTATTAATTAAATATACATTTTAATTTATTATATTTATATTAAAATATATATGTAAAAGAAATATTTAATTATTTTATATATATATATATATATATATATCTAATATTTATAACATTATTATTATTATAGCATCTGTATTCAAATATTTGAATATTTATAACATTATTATTATAATACTGTATTCAAATAGTTAATTATACATATAAGTTAATTCATTTTTAAGTTGTCAATATATAGTTTATAAGAAAATATTTAATAAGTTAATTCTTATTTAATTAGTTTAAAGTAATAAAAGTTTAAATTATTATTTTTTTTAATCTTTTAAAATGTAATTATTTTATTAAGATAAAATTTGATATATGATAAATAAACATAATAAGATAAAAAAATATGACATAATAAATATAAATTATAAATAAACTAATATTAGTTACTACTAAGATTGATGTAAAATATTTAGAAAAAGATAAAGAAAAAATATTAACTTTGTGTTCATCAAATTGGTTGAAAAGATTGAAAAAAAAAACAAATTGATGGGAGAGACTAAGAACATGTGAAAAACTGAAAGATAAGGGAGAGAATAATATAATAAATTAATTGATATAAAAGATTGAAAAAGATAAAAAAAATTAAAAAGTGGGTAGAAGAAAAATAAAAATGGGTGAAATATAAAAAAATAACCTTATATGTAATAGAAAAAGAAAATAAAATATTTTTAAAATATTAATATTTTAAAATTTAAATTTAAATATAAAGTTGGGACGGGGACGGGGACGGGGCGGGGTCGGGGTGGGGATTGCATTACCCATCCCCGCCCCGCCCCGCCCGACTTTTAAAGCGGGAAAACCCGAACCCGACCCCGCCCCGGTCAACTCGGGTTTTCCCCGTCAAACTTGGGACGGGGATAGGTCAGTCCCCACGGGTACGGGTTTAATTGCCATCCCTAACCACAAGGTCAAAAGGAACGCCATGTGGTCAACCTTCATCCACAATCATCGTCTAGAGGATCGACTCCCCCATCAAAGGAGCATCCGAAGGACAACCAGACAAGAGGGTTAACAACTTCACTTGTCAACCAGTCTTACGACCCATTTTGCCAACAACCGTTCGGCCAGGTGAAGGGGGGGGGCAACTGTAGACCCCAAATCTTGCCCGACCAATCAATAGCTCTTAGAAATCCTCCATTTGAAGATGTTTAAGGCTCCATTAGGCCCCTAATAGCATTCACTATGTTCCATTTAAGAATAAGAGAGAGTTTTGAGAAAATATAAATTTAGAAAAATCAGAAAATATGGGACGACCATCCCACTCTCCCAAACAGTTGTCCCACGTTTCATTGAGCTTGGGACGACCGTCCTACTTTCTTAGACGATCGTCCCACATTTCATTGAGCTTGGGACGACCGTCCCACTTTTCCTTGAGCTCGGGACGGTTGTCCCATTTTTCCAAACGACCATCCCACTTGTCAGAAGCCCAGACGGCCGTCCCGGCCTTCTTGGCGCAATTTGTTATAAATAGGGGCTCATTCCAGCTCATTCCACACACTCCTATGCTCTGAGGACCTATTTTTGGGACTTTTAAGTAGCTCTGAGCATTATTCTAGAGTACGAGTGATCTTTTTGACACTCAAGGAGTTTAGTTAATATTTTTGTTCGAGGGAGGAGTGCCTTTGTAGAGTGTGGGACTGCCAAAAAGCGTCATTTAGTTCAAGATTTATAAAAGCTTGCTTCAGAGGTTCTTCTTCATATCTCTTCTCTTTTATTGCTTTCTTTTACTGTTTTCCTTATATGCATTAGTTATCAGGGTCATGTAGATAATTATTTAAATACTGCAATACATAAATAGGGTAGAAGCATAATTTTATTGTCTTTATTTTAAGATTATTCCATCATAGGGAACCCGAAAGGGGCGTTGTGGGGGTGCTAATATCTTCCCCACACGTAACTAACTCTCTTACCTAACTCTGGTTATAATGGCCAAAGTTGGTTGTTCTTAAACCAACTCCTTCTTTTATTTTCCTTTTCCAATGTTTATGGTAAAAACATTGGTGGCGACTCCAGAACCCATTTACGAAAATATCACTCTTAAGGGTAGTTTGGTTATCGGACATCTTAAGATCGATGATCATATTTTAAAACAAACACGAGTCATCAAAACCATCGCATCACTCCGATCACTTTTTTGTGGCGGTGACAACATTGACTTACGTTATGTATATATCAATGTGGTCATCTAGATCAGTAGTGTCGTCATATTAGCCTATTGTGAGGTTCTTCCAAGACGTGGGTAGTGGAGCTTGCATGATCTCGTCGACAAAGGGTGTTAGCATTGGCCAATGATTCCTAATGAGGTCTGTTGGGGTACATCACAATTTCGGGGTTGTTTTGCATCTCTTGAGCTTGAGATAGGGCAATAACAATCGTAGCCGAGAACTAGCAAGGGCCTTCTCTTTCAATAGGGTATGCTCTGGGATATGGACTAAGCACTCTCCCTACTTCCCTTCAAGTTTTCAGCGTATTCAAGTGTTCTCTTGACTCGACTCCTCTTGTTAAAATGTTCCAACTCCTTTCTTAACTCTACGATTTGGGTCACCTCTTTTGCTCGACTCTCCCCCGGCTCCGCCCGTAGTGAGATTGGTCTCTCAGCATTGACCATGTTTCTTGTTGATACCATGAGCTTCGTAAGCACTATAGGCCCCACAATGGGTGCCAAAAAATGTTCCTAGAGGCCCCATTAACCTTATCTAAATTAACGAAGCTCATACAAATCTTCTCCTCTTAGTCCTCTTCGCAACACTCCTTCTTTTGGCCGAGAACTTGTAGGTCAATCCGATAAGGGGAGATCACGGGGTACCTACAGAAGATACTCTGACGCTATTTATACCATTTAAGTTGGGTTTCTTACTTGATGGGCCTTTGTCGAGGCCTTGTGATTGATGTTCTATGCTCTAATCCTTAGTTAGTTGGTAATCTCTCGTAAATGAAAAAGCTTAATCACATTTCTAGAGCTTACTAGTACACTTAGGAACTCATTTCAAGGCCTAATAACAATCATGTGATTGGTGTAAAATGAGTTTATAGAACAAAGTTACATTTTGATGGTTCTATTTACAAACATAAAGCTAGACTTGTTGTGAAGGGATATTCTCAAATGAATGGAGTTGATTATGGTGATACATTTGCACCTATTGTTAAGCATGAAACAATTAGATTAATCATTGCTTTATCAGGTTAATATGGATAGAAAATATTTCACTTAGATGTAAAATCAACAATCTTAAATGGTGTTTTGGAAGAAGAAATTTATGTTGAGTAGCTTGCTAGTTTCATTGTTGTTGGTCATGAAGATAAAGTTTATAGGTTTCACAAAATCTTATTTGGACTAAAACAAGCTCCAAGAGCTTGGTATAGCAAAATTGACTCATATTTTTTGCAAAATCATTTCAGTAGGAGTCAAAATGAGCCTACCCTTTATGTTACACAATCAAGAATCTGATATGATTGTAATTATTGTCAAATATTGTAATTAGCTTAAATTGGGATACCTACTTAATATAGGAGAGATACTTGCCTAATTTCTAGAGATTTAGCTTATTTCTCTCCTAATGTTATGTAACGGTCAGTGTATTCACTTGTATATATTTTGCCTCTCAATCAATGAAATATATGCTCTCGAGGTATACTTTCATGGTATCAGAAGCATCTCTATAATCAACTCTGATTTTTTTTACCTCTGCAGCATGTCTACCTCCAGCAACCTTAATTTGGAGAGCCCTTATTATCTTCACTCTTCTGATAATCCTGGACAAACTCTTGGACAGTCATCTACTTCATCCACTCGTGCTGACCAACGTAATGATGCTGTGAAAGATCCTTTATCTGCAGATTCGTTACAACAACTTCTTCGCCTATTAAGGGAGGTAAACCAACCTAAGGCCAATCTCACAGGTGCGTCTCTAGCTCTTTATTCTTCCCTCTGTATGCCTACTGAATGGGTTATTGATATTGGCGCAACAGATCACGTTTCTTTCACCCCTTCCTCTTTTCAACAACCACCTATTCCTTCTTCTCTTCATAAATCTATTTGTGTTCCTAATGGTCATTCGGTTCCTATACATGGCTTTGGAAATGTACACATAACATCAGATATCATCTTGACTGATGTCTTATTTGTACCCTCATTCAAATTCAACCTTTTATCTGTGCCAAAACTCACCCAGACTACTAATTGTTCTGTTTCCTTTTATCCTGATCATTGTGTATTTCAGGACCATTTGACGAAGAAGGAGATTGGTCGGGGCCATAAAAAGGGTGGACTCTACTTCCTTGATGTCTCTACCTTTTTTGCCGCCATTATCACTACCTCATCCACCACTTGGCATGCTAGGTTTGGTCATCCATCATCAAGTGCCCTCAAGTGTTTAGCTCCTGTTCTTGGTTTCAATAAAGACTCTTGTGACCATTGTGAAGTCTGTCATTTGTCAAAACAAACAAGACTCCCTTTTCCTTTACACACACCCACTAGCAGTGGTTTGTTTGAATTAATTCATGTTGATATTTGGGGAAAGTATGCCACACCTACAAAAAATGGTCATCATTATTTTTTAACTATTGTTGATGATTTTTCCCGTGTCACATGGACCTATCTCATGAAATACAAGTCGGATGCCTATTCTTTGTTAGTTCATTTCTTAGCTTATGTTCGAAATCAATTTCGAGACATGTGTAAAAACAATCCGCTCAGATAATGGCACTTGAATTTACAAATAATTCATTTCAGAAAATTCTTTGTGACTCCGGGATTCTCCAACAATTCTCTTGCCCAGGTACCCCACAACAAAATGTTGTCGTCGAGCGTAAGCACCGACATCTTCTCAATGTTGCACGGGCTTTACGTTTCCAAGCCGATCTTCCACTAATTTTTTGGGGTGATTGCATTCTTACTGCCACTTATTTAATAAATCGAACACCATCCAAAATTTTAGCCGGTCAGACTCCTTATGAAAAACTCTATGGCCATCCACCTGATTTCACTCACTTGCGTACATTTGGTTGTTTGTGTTATGCATCCACTTCACATGATCATCCAAATAAATTCGCACCTAGAGCTAGACGTTGCATCTTTGTGGGGTACCTGTCTGGTCAAAAAGCCTTTAAACTATATGACATTGATCATCATAAATTTCTAGTTAGTCGAGATGTTATCTTTCATGAAACAATATTTCCATTCAAGAATAGTAAGGCTTTGCATGATTTACACATGGAACGACACCCTCTTCCTCTACCCATTTGTGATTAAGAACCCCTAAATTCAACCAACCCCACACCTCCTAGAAACACTTCTCCACTCCCTCCTCCTGCAGAACCCAATGATAATGAACCCACACATACTGTTGAACCCTTGAATCCCTCCCTGCAGGTGACCACCCTTGAACCCACACATGCGGTTGACACTCCTACAGTGACTACCCTTGCACCAAGACACTCCGAACGTCTCAAAAAGCCTCCAGCGCACCTTGCGATTACGTGTGCAATATGGCCTCCGCTCAATCTTCTTCCTCGTCTCCAGGTATGCAATATCCTATCTCACACTCTCTTTGCTCAAATCCTTACTCAAATAACCATCTCCATTTCATTAATTCTATTATCAAGCACATTGAACCCACCTCATATCTTGTTGCCGTAAAGATCCCCATTGGAGACAGGCTATGGAGGACGAACTAAAGGCATTAGAGGCTAACAATACCTGGACTTTAGAGTTTTTGCCTCCCGACAAAACGGCTATAGGTCTGCAAATGGGTGTATCGTATCAAATATAAATCGATGGCTCCATTGACCGGTATAAAGCGCGTTTGGTTGCTAAAGGTTACTCACAGACAAGAAGGATTTGATTTTACTGACGTTTTTGCTCCTGTTACTAAATTAACTACTGTGAGGATCTGTTCTTAGTCTTGCAGCGGCAAAAATTTGGCCAACTCATCAAATGGATGTTTCGAACGCCTTTTTACATGGCAATTTACATGAAGAAGTTTACATGCAACTTCCTCCTAGGTTTCAGTAAACAGGGGAGAGTCGCGTTTGTCGACTCCACAAGTCACTTTATGGCTTAAAACGGGCACCTCGCACTTGGTTCACTACCTTTTCGAGTGCTTTGCTTGAGGCTGGCTTTACTCGAGTCAAGGGCCGATTACTCCATGTTCTTATTTACCGTGCATCCCATATAACAATTTTACTTGTTTATGTTGATGATATTGTCATTACAGGTGATGATGCGTTGGTTATTTCACTCTTAAAGAAATACCTTTGCAGTCGGTTCAACATAAAAGATTTGGGCTCATTGAAATATTTTTTGGGAATTGAAGTGGCACGTTCCAAAGCTGGAATTTTTCTTAATCAGCGGAAATATGCATTGGAAATTTTGCACGACACGGGTCTTCTTGCTAGTAAACCGGTCACAACTCCATTGGATTACAATCACACTTTGGTTGCTGATCATGGTGAAGTCCTATCGACCACTGCTCCATATCGGCGATTGGTTGGTAGATTGCTATACCTTACGGTCACCCGACCGGATATCACTTATGCGGTTAACTTACATGTCACGGTTTATGTCTTCTCCTCGTGACACACACTGCGAGGCAGCACTTAGAGTGGTGAGATATATCAAATCGTCCCGGACCATGGTATCTTACTCTCATCTAATTCTTCTTTACGCTTGCACGCCTATTGTGATGCGGATTGGGCTTCTTGCCCCACTTCTAGAAGATCAACCACTTGGTTATTGTATATTTTTGGGTCCAGGTCTCCTCTGTCGGCGCACCAAAAGCGATCAACGGTTTCTCGCTCCTCTGCCGAAGCGAGTATCGAGCCATGGCACATATGGTTAGTGAGCTCACATGGTTGCACACTCTTCTTCATGAATTGGGTATTCCACCACATCCTGCCACTTTATCTTGTGATAATCAAGCTTCCCTCCATATAGCAAACAATCCGAGTCTTTCATGAAAGAACAAAACATGTTGAAATTGATTGTCATTTTGTTCGAGATAAAATTCAAGAAGGAAAACTTCGAACCACATTTGTCTCCTCAAATCGGCAATTAGCGAGATATCTTCACAAAGGCTCTTCTTTCGGCTTCACATACTCGGTTAATTTCCAAGCTCATGTACCTTCCTAGTTCTTGAGCTTGAGGGGGAGTGTTACACAATCAAGAATCTGATATGATTGTAATTATTGTCAAATATTGTAATTAGCTTAAATTGGGATACCTACTTAATATAGGAGAGATACTTGCCTAATTTCTAGAGATTTAGCTTATTTCTCTCCTAATGTTATGTAACGGTCAGTGTATTCACTTGTATATATTTTGCCTCTCAATCAATGAAATATATGCTCTCGAGGTATACTTTCACTTTACGTAAAAGACAGTGGCAATGGGAAAAAATATTATGTCAACTCCTAAGTTGTTCAAGAATGATGGTGATGGAAAGACTGATGTAACTCAATATAGAAACCTGGTTGGTTACCTTCTTTACTTCATTGTAATTAAACCAAATTTTATGTTCTTTGCTAGTTTGTTTTCTAGGTACATGCACTCACCAAGTTTGACACACTTTGGTGTATGCAAAAGAGTGTTAAGATATTTGAAAGGTGCAATTGATTTTGATATTTGGTATTGTAAAGGGGATGGAAAGCTTGAAGTTTATGTTGACAGTGATTGGGCTAGTTCTACTAATGATTCAAAAAGCAAAACTAGATATGTTTTTTCACTTGACAATGGAGTGTTCTCATGGAACTCTAAGAAGCAAGATGTAGTTGCTTAATCCTATGCAGAAGCATAGTATATTGCTACAACAATGACTTCAAATAAACCTTTATGGATTAAAAAAAGTCTTAAACGACTTAAATCACATGTTGGAGGAAGTTACTATTTTGTG